TCTAGCAATGGCAACATAATCTACAGCTATCATGCCATGGAAAATCCTTGCTGCCCACAAAACAGTGATTTAGGAGGCAAGTATGGAAAGGTCACTTGCTCCTCCCCAGAAGATATTGAGCTTGTTCAAAAGAGGGCTTTAATGGATACTATCCCAGTGATTGTCAAAATCCTGGAAGAAGTCCAGTTCATTGCAATGCGCTTCAGAAAACAAGATGAGGGTGAAGAAATATGTAGTGAGTGGAAGTTTGCAGCTGCTGTTATAGACAGATTATGCTTGGTTGCATTTTCATTGTTTGCAATCATCTGCACATTTACAGTACTAATGTCTGCTCCAAATTTCATAGAAGCTGTTTCAAAGGATTTTACATAAAGCTCTGAGATGAACACAGTGAAAGAAATGCCATTTCCAAATAAGCGTTGCCATTAACTTTGTTAAATGAAGTAATTTGAAACAGAGAAATGTACTTTTATGAGCTAACTTGCGTAGAAGGAAGTTGAAATTAGTTTCAGAAGCTGATTATCCCTAATGGTAGTGATTGTAATTACTGAATAATATAAAACACTGGGCTCTGTTATTTATTTCTTAGACTGTGTCTACCTGTAATAATGTCATAATCTGTGACAACTGAGATAGTTGAGAACCTAAACTACAGTATATTTGTTACAACTTTACACTAGTGTGTGTGTGCTGCTAAGAAAACACTAGTAGAAATTTAGCTACTCTTTAACAGCTACTTTGACAAATCACTCAGATTAACCTGTTCTTTAGTAAACTGTCATTTTTGGTATCTTTACATTTTAGCATCTTTGTTTATTATGGCTGTGCTGTGCATTTCTCAGATTGGCAGTGATCACTCTGCATTCTGGTATCTCTGTATAATGCCTTTAGTGAAATAAATTACAATTGTGTTAGCTTTTACTAATTCTGTGACTAATTTTTTTTCCCCAGTAAATATGTTGACATAATGTACTTTCGCTAAGATTTTAAAGTATTTTTTTATATGCATGTAAGATTGGTTGTTAAGAGAAAACAGAAAATTTAGTACCCATTCAGGCAAGTGCATAGATTCTAAATGAGCCTGCCTCAGCCTCCTCTTGCTGTTTAGCTATTGCTGTGGTGCTTTGTGCTTAAGTTGAAACATCTCTAATGATTTTGAATTACAGCTGCCATTTAAATACAACTTCAGTAAAGTCCATGGGAGGAATGCCACTTATTTCAGTTGGAGGCCAGGGCTTCACTGTTAGAATTCACAGGTTTGTCTTGCAGTGCTGTATCTTTATTTTTTGCTGAGTTCTGTATGATTTACTTTCAAACATGGCCACAGCAGTCTTGTTAAAAGAACTGTGTAAAAGGACAATTTATTTTTTGTTAGCTACACTTTGACATAGCCTACTTTTGCATTTACATGTACCAATTTGCTGTTATTAACTATTATAATGCAACGTTTAAACATTAATAAAGAGTAATTGTTAAATCATTCCATTGGTGTATGATGATAAAAGGCCTCTCATCACAGGCTTCTATCTATCTTGTAATGAAACCTTTGCCATAATACAGTTGCTTGGCTCTCTTGTTGGGATTTTACTCTACCAGCAGATTATACAACTGGTCATGTGGACACAAAGGGGGCCACTGGAATGTTCACCAGAGGATGAGTTCTTCACATCATGGTTAGAGGTGTTGGTTGTAGCTAAGGACATAGGCAGACAAGGTTCTTTGGGTAAATCTCGTATCTTTTATTAGACCAACTAATATAGTTGGAAAAATTCTTATTTTGGGTACAGCATCTGCAGTTTGAGTTGGTCATAAATTTGATATATCAGATTTACCCAAAGAGTCTTGTCTGCCTCTCATCATGATTAAACATTCTACCATCTGGTGCTATTAATTTCTCTGGGGTGGAGACCTTTCCTAGTATGTCTTTGAGGTACTTAACCTATTTACCTGATAAGTAACAGGAGCAAGAATCCACTGTCTTTCTTACCTAATTTCCAGACTGTGTTCCCTTAAAGAGGTCCTAGGTATGTTGAAAATAATTCTTTCCTACAACCATGAACTGAACCCTTACAATACTGCTGCTGGAGAGTAATAGGGAAACCATAGGATCCTTCCGGAGGACTTAAACAACTTCCACTTATACGCAAGAAGCAAGGATTTTTTTGTGTGATATCTTTTTTTGGATTACCTGTATAGTTAAGAGAAATGTTAGATGAGCTTTGAACATAAAATGCCCTTCTTCATGTCTAGGAAAGAAGCAGGTACAGCCTCAGCTAAATACCACCTAAACCAATGGCTTTTGTTAGCTCCACATGTACAAGAAAAAAAGACACTTAAAGGATTGAAGAAGGCCTGCAAATTAGAAGCAAAGACAAGATATCAGAAGTAGCTTCAAAGGCAGAGAAGTTTAGCTGAATAAATAACCTAATTATGTAAAAGAACAATACCATTCAGAAGGGAAAAGGATCATTATTACCTATGGCGTATTGAGAGATAAGAAGAGATGCCAGTTAGATTATGTCATCATCTATGTTTAGCATGGTGTATAGTGGCTAGTAAATTATGAATTTTTGTTCCCAAACCCATCTTCTTGTGGAATTCATGTTTTGAACAATACCATGAACTCAACATGGATGATAATTTTATGACTCACTGTAATTGACTGCTATATCTTCTAACCTCTCAGTACTCCACAGGTACTCATCTAACATCTCTCCCCCAACTATGCAATTGGTCCAGTAAAAAAATGTAGCACCAGAGAACCTTGTTTCTCATGTACTTTCTGGACCACCATGGTTACCGTCAGTCCAACTCCATCTAAATAGGCAGTGGAGAAGCTGCTTGCTCAAGGAACAATCTCTTGCATTAACATTTTGCCTATTACCACTTAGTATACTGTGTCTCAGTGGAGAAGATATTTGAGAGAGCTGAGAGTGTTGAAGCAGTTGTGGTAGCTTCTGGATACCCTGGTATCCTTGACTTCTACCCAGACTGCTTTCAGATACGATTTTTGTAAGCTGACAATACCCCTGTCTATTTTGCTCTTAGGGATAAAATTCAGGAATCAGTCCATACTAATATCAAATCCTGCAGGAACTGACAGAAACAGCCTCGTGTGCATCCCTTTCCTTCTTCTTTGAGAGTTCCCAAGTAATGGCATAAAACATTCACTCTTCTTCCATGTGGGCCACCCTACCTGCATTCTTACAAAGATGTCACCCTGCCTCTTGTTGCCCATCTATGGTTGTCTGAGCGGTGGAATTGCAGTAATGTCTCCTACTGGCGAGCTCTAGGCACCTCCAAGCTCTCTGGACCACCCTTTGGAAGCATGCACTTCTCCCATTCTCTGCAGAGGAGATAGGCACCTAAACACAGTCAAATTGCATCCCTGATCAGAGACACTCAAGTCTCCCAATTGGCTATAAAGTGTTCCTTGGTTTACTCAATTCTATGATGAGGTTTTTTTTCTCATTTAACGTAAGGGGAAAAAAACCCTTATCTTAGAACAGGGGTGGGCAAAATATGGTCCAGGGGCTGCATCCAGCCTGCTAGGCCATTCTATCTGGCCTGCAAGGCCCCTAAAAATTTTAAAAATTAATATTTGTTTGCTCCTGGCTCCCTGGCAAAGATGACAGGAACCAAGGATAGTAGGACCCAGGGGAAGGTGGTGGCAGGATGCAGCAGCAAGGCCCGCCCAGCCCTACCCCCTTAACCAGAAGCCCCTGCCTAGCAGAGGCTTCTGGCCTGGGACTGTGGCACTGTTCCTGCCTCCCTGTGCCAAAGGGGGAAACAGGCCCTTGACAGCTTGCCAAAACTTGGTAAGCGGCCCTCCTCTCATAATAATTGCCTGTCCCTGTCTTAGAATCACGTACAAGAATGGGAGAGAGGGGGTTGGGGAGGGTGAGAAGGGCAACTACTGTGGCTTGGGCTGTAGTCTCTACCTGGGACTGGGGCTTAGCTGCAGCTGCTGCCTGCTCCTCTTCCCTTTCCCACTACCTCTGCACACCCCACATCTCCCCCTCCCACCTAACGCAGCCTCTGCTCCCCCACCTACTCTCTCCTTTACCCTTGCTTGTACCTGCAGGCTCTATGCATGCTGCAACCTGGGGCACTGAGCAAGTCCCCAGCCTGGCCCCATAGCAGTGGCAGGTGGCTCTCATGGCTTCTACAGGGGGTTGGGCAGGGGCTGTGCTCTGGGTTCAGTGCCCCTGGCTGCAGTGTGGACAGAGCTTGCTGGCACAGAACAACGTTAAGTGGGGGGGGTGGGCAGGAAGCAAAGGCTAGAGGGAGGAAGGAGCAGAATCTAGAAAGGAGAAGGGGGAGGGGAAGGGGAAGAGGACAGGAAAGAGGTGGATCAGAGGCAGAGGGGGGAACGGGGCTTGAGGCAGAGCTGGGGCAGATCGGGGGAAGAGGTGGCAGGGGGCAGGTACAAGCAGAAGGCAAGCTACTTGACCACCCTCTACTGCCTACCCCCTTACTGCCTGCCCCCCTGCAGTGGTAGGAAGGATAAATTAAAGACAACCCTCCAATAATTAGATTATATGCATGGAAAATTATAACACACTTATAAATCTTCCATGTATAGAATCTATTATGGGGGGGGATAATCTTAAATTCATGCTCATCTTAGGTTGGAGTAAATATGGTAAATACAGTAAACGTGACCCCCTTGCCCACATACAAATCCTGCTGCCTAAGTGAAGGTGTCTGTGAGCCAACTGAATCTGGCCCTAAATGACCCACAGAATCATTCATTTAAGGATCATAAATCTTTTTAATTGAAGACCTGTGTTGTCATCAGCAATCTCCAGTGAAACAAAGCATAAAAGGTGAACGTAAATCACAATGGTCACAATAACCTACCATCCTGATGCAAAATGTATTTCTTTATATGAAACACAAAAATATCATAGAACACTATTTTTAGTTAAAGCACAGGTACACAAATCATAGGAGAAGTAAGAGGATAAGTACTGGCCTAAAAAACAACATTGAAAAACTAACATCAAGCTATATTTTATTTCATAAAGTCTAAGTCAAACAGAAAAGACAATGAATAGACTGGTATTTCATACTATTATATTGTCAAGAGTCCAATCCTTACTTATGTTTTTGGTTTAGGGCTGTCATAATACTAAAATGTGTTTTGGGTATACACTGAACGCAATATATACAAATCCCCTCTTGTGTTGTATCCACATCCTGCTTATTCATTCAGCTGGCAAAGCAAGGCAGCTCCTTTTGATATCCAGTAGTCACTTGGTCTTTTTGAGGGTAATAGTACTGTTACCACAAAATTGGTAGAATGACCTAGTTGGAAAAGGAAGAGATAAAAACTGTTACTGTATATCTACAACAATGTGCATCCAATGTAATATTAAACCTCCAAACCAGGGTAACATTCAAAACTAAAACTGATACATACATGATTAAGATGTAACTAGAATAACTGAAGTTTAGGCGAGATAATTTGCATGACTGGAATATAGCCAAGGATGGATATAACTTATTCAGAAAAGATAGACATGGAAAAAAGATGGAAGCATTGCTTTGTATATTAAAGATACCTGTACCTGCTCTGAGGTGCAGAACAAAGTGGGCAACAGACTTGCTGAAACTCTCTAGGTTATGGTAAAAAGGGAGAAGAGCGAGGGTGGGATGGGGCCACAGGTGGGCAGGTAGCAGCATCTGGGCGTGGGATGGGCACACGAGGCCAGGGCTGGAATCATGAGGCTGTGACAGGGGCCCAGGGCAGAGCCATGATCTGCTCCCTGCAAGCCCCTGTGACAGACGCTGGTTCCACAGGCAGGGTTGTGCGGGGAGTAGATCGTGGCTCTGCCCCAGTCCCCCACTCTTCATTGCCATGGCCCTGCAATCCCAACCCCAGCCCTGCTCCCAGATGCAGTATCCAGCCCTATGAATTTCACAATGCAAGATATAAAATTTGGAAATGCTTCTGAACTGCATGAAAAATCCAACCATGAATCTGAGTTACAAGGTCTCAGATGAGTTATCAGTGTGAAAATAACTTCTAACAGCTAGCCTGGAGAGCATCCCCAAAATTTTAAGTCTAATTCAAAATTATAAACCCAATTTAGAAATATCAGAAGAGCATAAGTTTTCTCTTTATTTTTTTATGACACTGGAAACAAAAAAGAAAAAAAATACATATATGAATCCCTAATTTCAATGTAATAAGAAGGTGCTTGCTAAGGAAGCCAGATATCTCTGCTCATGAACAAAGCCAGGGTCATCTAACACTGGATCTCACATACTAAGATTTACACAGGTATAAATCCTATGACTCCAGCTGATCCCAGTCTACAACAGGTGTCCCACTTTTTGAAGATGGGCAAATACTTTCAGGCATCATTTCAGGTAGCCTTGACACCTCTCGTTCAGACATATTATAGAAATCTAGTATACAATCATTGCCACAGACTATGATTACTTCTGTATTTCTGGCACATAAATGAAGGCAACAGGATCAATGGCATGAAACAGAGCTTGTTAATGAAAACATACTAAGTTTCAGCATCATTAGTTTAATCAGTATAGTACCAGATACATGAACTGATCAATCATAATCATCATGATATTATAAGGAGTTAAATATCATGATGCACATGTATCAAAAAAATCAGTTCAGTATCTAGCACCCTAGTAGCACCTGAGCAAATACCTGAGACAGTGCAGAT